CGGAANTCTAAAATAGTACAGTAGAAGCCGTTCTTCCGATTAAGACTTAATCCCCCCTCTCCCCCCGCAGGGAATTTCGAAAAATCCCTTCTTAGTGAGCGTTTTCATGACGTACCCTAACTGTGTACCAAATTTCACCTCTTTAGGTTCAGCGGTTTGCTCTGGGCGATGATGAATCAGTGAATGAGTCAGTCAGTCAGTCAGGACAAGCAATTTTATATATATAGATGAATCATCAAACACATGATGCTGAGAATGTTTATTACACAAGCATTAACATTTTCGACCTAATATATATATTTATATGATACTGTAACTGGATTCTTAAATCAAATGTTTTTTCGAACAAACATTTGATTTAAGAATCCAGTTACAGTAAATTTGGCCTGAAGAAGAGCCCAGGAGGGGCATTGAAAGCGTTTGCCAATCTTTGTTTGGAGTTTTCACGCCGGATATTGGTTACAGAGCATACATATTTTTGTTTTACACTTTGTACAATTTGTTTGAAGTTGAAATCCTTATAATTTCCCAGAAATTTATTAACAACTTCTTTAAAGGAGCTCCAAGCTTCCTTTTCAACCTTTGTCATACATGTTTCAAATTTTTCATCCTTCATAAGTTTTCGAATATTTGGACCCACAAAGACACCTTCCTTCACTTTGGCTGCAGATAATCCAAGAAATGCATGAATCAAGTGCTTGAAACACCGACCTTCTTTGTCTAGAGCTTTCTCAAATTGTTTTATCAAACCAAGTTTTATATGAAGTGGAGGCATAAGAATCTTTTCTTGGTCAACCAAAGCTTTCTTAATAACATTTTTGCTGCCAATTTCAAACTTCTCTCTTACTGGCCACTGTCTCTTAATCCAATGTTGACTCCTTTCCCTACTGTCCCATTCACACAGGAAGCATGGATATTTTGTATATCCCCCTTGAAGTCCAAGAAGCATGGCAATTACTTTTAAATTCCCACATATGGTCCACATGTAATCCTTGTATTTAAGTTTGTTCAAAATGACAGCTAAATTTTCATAGCATTCTATGTAGTGCACAGAATGTCCAACTGGTATTGAAGCATATTTGTTATACAGCATATTTCATTTATTGTTTATTATAAAATAACAAAAATAAATAAGATACATACATTTATTTATATATATATTAATGAATTTTAGAGGGCAAACAAAAATAAATTACATGTTAATTGTATATTCATAAAAACACAAAGACTGAAAACCGAAAATTTCATATTGTGAAAAAACTGTACAGATGGAATTTTTTGGTTATTTTTTCTGAAATCAGCGTCCAAAAATACATCAGAAACAATGCTTAGTTTTCAGGAAATATTTTCATTGCAGACCTGTGTTATTTACATTGTTATTGTATTAGTTCATTTAGTATATTTTGTTTCATTTTATTATTTATTTGTTAATATATCTAGTATTTTGTTTTAAATTTAAATGTAAAAGTGTTCAAACATTCTGTTGTTTTTAATGTTAAGTTAAAATATGTTCAAATTTCACTGCATCTGAAGATGGCCTATCATATTAGGTCAAAAACGTTAATGTTTTTGTAATAAATGTTCTCAGCATCAGATGTTTGATAATTCATTAAACATTTAAAGGGCTGAGTAGAATATTTGGTTTCATTTTATTTTTAAATTAGTTACTCATTTTTATCATAGAAAACTATTACTGATGACAAAATTAAAATTGAAATAAAAATATTTGTTATTAAGCAAAAATTTGTACTAGCAAGTAGTAATTGTTCAGTTGAGTACATGCAATTTTGATATACATGATAGCATCAAGGGATTAATTAATCGTGTTAACCAATGGTTGCCTGTAGTATGTAACCTGTATGTAGTGAAAGTCTATCTACTACAGAAGAATTGCTCAATCCCATGGGATTCCATTATAGACAGGCACATATAAGAAATCTTATAATTAATTACAAGATTAGTATCAAAATCTAAGGTTGTACAAATGCACTGGAATAAAAGTTTTGTTTATATCAGTGGTCGGCAACCAGTGGTCTGTGGACTATTGATGGTCCACCAAAAAATTTGGACATTGATCAACTGAAGGTTAGAAAAAGTATTACAAAAGAAATGTAAAATGCTTAGTTGTTTTTTTCACACACTGGGTTTTTTTTTATTCAAATCTAAAACCAAATATGAAGTGACTATTATCAATAAATAATGAACAATAATCAATATTGTGAGTGCGATTGTCGTCCTTCGTGAAAATGCACTAAGAATCCATAAACTTATTTCAAACAAGCAGCAATGTACTTGCATTAATTTGTTATAATTAAACATGAGAGTTTCATATTAATATAGTAAAATTAAACTTTTATGAAAATTATTCTACAGATTTTGTATCATTTAAAAAAATTCATGATAGTGGTCCGTGGGATTCATGGTCTGAGAGGTCAGAAAGGTTGCAGACTGCTGGTTTATATCTTGGAAATGCACAGTTAATATACAGTAGAGGATTGTTTATCTGAAAGAATTCCGGTCAGCAAATTTAATTTTCACTAGTGCTGTGGCACTGCAATCTTTGGCTATATCTTGGGCTACTCCAATATATTTTTTTTTTGTGTGTGTGTTTTAGCTGGCAGCACTGGCACTTTTGTGTGGTGTTTTTCTGAGGACTGTGTGTCGTGCTGAATTGAACATTTTTGATACTAGATTAACTTCTAAAGTATATTTTTTTTGTTTTTATATTTTTCAATATATTTATTTTGTTTGTAAAAAATAAAGAAATAATTTTTAATGATACAATAGCCACGATTATTATTTTAAAAAGTTTACATTAGGCTTAACGTCGACGAAAATTCAACGCAAAGCGACACGCAACGGAGAAAAATTTTAACACAGGATTGGTTAATATATTTTTTTTTGTATATAATCAGTTATCAGAAAAATAAGTTATCCAAACAACCCCAGTCCCCAATTGATTCAAATAAACAATGCTCTACTGTACAGATAACCTAATTTAAATTAATTATTTTCAAGCCTATCTTTTTATTACATGATTGATAATTATTATTTAAATTTTTGTTATAGAATTAAAAAATATCACACTTTATTTCAGTACAAATACATTGTCCCTTCTCTTGGATCAGATTTTTATTTGTATTGTGATATAAATTTAAAAGTGATTAAAAAATTATAATGTATTTTTAAAACCAATCTAAACTGTTTAGTATCTCCAGTTCAAAGATTTTGTGATTTTTTTTTTGTTGTGTGATTTGTGAAAAACGGTAATTTCAAAAATTACCAGTTTTATTTAACTACTATATTTGATAGGGTTATGTATTTTCTTTTGTGATAAATAATATTGTTATTTACATAGATATGCTTTTCCTAAAAGTTATTTTTAGGATTTGATTAATGCTGTTTCTATGTAGAATCAGCCATTTTATTTTGTGATAAATGTGATAATATTATATTTTGATTATTTCAGCACCAAGGATGTGTTATTGCCATTTATAAAAGCAAGCTTTACTAGTAGGCAGTTGGTACTGAATTTGAGCAATTGTTTTAATTTTAATTTGACTGAATAAATAATATTTTTGGCTTTTTTAGGTATGTTTGTTTATTTTATGACCATTTTGCCAAGTTAACTGACAGTATAAACTGTATTTTTTTTACTTTTTAATTTAACTTGTAGTTTGATTTGATGTAAATTTATTTTAGGTTTAATATTACTTATAATTTTGTAAAAGTTACATTTGTTGTTCATTGTGTTTTAATTGTATTTTTTAATATATCTGTATGTCCATACATTAAACTTTTGTCTTGTATTAATACAAATGCAAATATTATTAAGGTCATAAGTAAATAAACTCATAATAAAACTTAAAATTTAGGTGTTAAATCAGAAAATTAATATTTTTAAACAAATCATCCTTTTATAATTATTTTTGAATTCAGTTTCTTGCATAATAAATTCATTGTTTTCTCTCCTTTGTATTAGGTATTGTCTTAATCACATATTCTAAACCAATTGCAGTGTGTAGATGATGAAAACAAACAAAAACAAACGTTTTCAAACTCCTTCTGAGACCTTCATCAGGTTTTTAACATTTTCTTGATGGATATTAGTTTTGGAATAAAATTCGAGCAAGAGTTTAAATATAAGTTTGAAAAATTAATAAAACCACATTGCACCTGCGCAGAGAGTTGTCCTATTGGGACTCAACAAACGGTTAATCTGTGTTGTCAATCAACTCTAGCCAGGCCATTGACAAAACCATTTCCTCTTTATAATTTATGCATGTAGATGTAAAACTGGATTTAAAAATGTGCACTGCTTCCAACCATCTGAGCTGTTCCGTGGGAGCATAGCGAGGATGAGCTTGGTCCAATTAGAGTCCGCTATGAATGTCCGGATCTGTTGCATAAATAGAGAGGGCCATGGTGGTTCTCACATGACTTATATCAGCCAGAGGTTCTTGTAATGATCCCCATGGAGCACTTAGTTGACCCTATGTATACCAGGTCTCTATCTTAAATCCAGTTTTACATCTATGTGCATAAATTATAAAGAGGAAATGGTTTTGCCAATGGTTTGGCAAGAGTTGATTGACAACACAGTTTAGCCGTTCATTGAGTCCTGGTAGGGCGATGTGGCTTTAATAATTTTTTCAAACTTATATTCGAATTCTTGTTCGAATTTTATTCCAAAACAAAGAACCATCAAGGAATCATTAATAAACCTGATGAAGAACTCGGAAGGAGTCGAAAACATTCAATTTTGTTTGTTTTCATTATCTACACACCATAACTGGTTCAGAGTATGTCATTAACTATATCCTAGTTTGGAGAGTAGTTGTTTAGATATTGCCTTTTTAATTATTATAAATAAATATAAAAAATATTGTGTAATAAATTAGTTTAGTAAATTTTCAATACTATGCAAGAAATTACATTAAAAGATTGAAAATAATGAATAATATAAAATTAAATAATTAGAAATACATAATACTGCATACGTTTTCAGTTGTCATTGTTTGTTCCAGTAATTTTGACGGCTCAACATCAAATTCTTCTTCTACTGACATTGGTTCTTCAGTTACAGAGCAAGTTTCATTAGATGAATTGGGAGGAAGCCCCGTGTTTTTGTTTTTGGAACCACGATATGAATGTGATGTTATAGGAGACTGAGAAACAGTTACAGTCTCAGAATTTCCAGTTGTAGTTTGTGGATAAGTACCATTCACGGCTTTATTTTCTTCAGATTTATTCGTTTTATCCGTCTGAGAGTCTTTTCCTTTCAGTTTAAAATTTGCTTGTTCTTCATAATCACTATGGGTTGAATCACTTAACGATCTCTTTCTAGGTCGTCCACGTTTTCTCCTGTGATAGGGAGAAGATTCTGGTTGTGGCTGTTTATGCAAAGGAATTGGAGGAAATGGCTGAATTATTATATTTTCTTGCACTTCTTCATGTAACTGCATACAATCCTGTCTGTTTTCAATGGCAACTTCTGCCAATCCTTTAACTTTTAATGTGTCAGCAATTTTGAGAAGAGCCGACAACTGATCTTGAGTGATGTTGACTTCACCCCGATACATAAAATCTATAATGGCTTTCAAATCTTCGTACCTCATATCTTTCAAAATCACAATTGGATGTTTGCATGGATTTTCAAGAAATAAACTTTGAAAAAATGGGCTGCAGGCAGATAAAACCATTTTGTGAGCTTTCAGACTAAGTCCTTCACATGCCAATGTGACATCTACTAATTCTTCATTTGACAATAACTGTTCAAATACTGAAAAAATATTTGAATGATGATTATTCCATTTCAGACAAAACTGTTGCGAGCCCATGACTAATACCTGTTTTTCAGTCAAATGTTTCTCAATTCAAATTAATCTGTAAAATCAAACAATAAAATATAGTATACAATAATAAAAATATTATTATTGATCTAAATTAAGTCATACATACATTAGATAAATAAATGCATAAAAATGTCATTTACACCATATAATTTTTTAAATATTAAATTTTTAAAATATATGGCATACAATCAAAGAAAAAAACTAACAACAAAGCTAATGCTATGAATACATAAAATTTATAAAGTATATTTAATAATTCACACATTTAAAATAATTTGATGATAAATCTGATATTTATAATCTAGAAATAAGTAATTCCTTTTGTTTTAATTATCACACAACGGTAATTAATTTTAAATTTTTACAATATATAAAAACTGCCATAAGCACTGAAAACATGAGAAAAGCTCCATTAACTAGATGTAAACTGCATTCTAAAACATCAGATAGAAAATAATGAAAAATGTTTTTTAGTTGCTTTAATAATCTTCATATTATAACATCAAAATTTAAGATTGTACATTACATTGTGGTATCAGATATTTTTTAAAGATTGTGTCAGTCACATAAATTCTTTCAATATTGCTATCAATTAACTTTTAGTTACACAACAATTTTGGTGTACTTTTAGGTCAGATAATTAAGCCAACAAGTTTCCTTTTTCACTTTTGATATTTAATGTAATTTATAAATGCTTGACAAGTTATGCAAAAAGAAAAGAATTATTAGTAATAGGTATGTAATACTTTCTTATTTGCAGTGCAATGTTATGCATTTTAAAATGTTATAATGCCAATAGTAATGAAATTTACCACAAATGTGCTTTCAACAGCAAATAACTAAATAGTTGCTCTGCTAAATGATTTAACAGCAAAATATTAAAATTTGTACAAGTTTATAAGCTTAAACTTTAATCAATGAAGTTGAAAACAGTGTTATATTACTTCAGCCTGATTTACCTATTCTTTTGCATCCAGTGCTAAAATACATCTTGAACAAAATATTCTCCCACAGATGATCTCTCCAAAGATGTATGCATCACTGCATCCAAAAAAGTTTATTTCAGACAATTTTGCAGTATTGTTTTGATTATTTTCATCTGTTAAAAGTCTCATAGTCTGCAGTATAGAGAGTGATAATCCTGTCACATTCTGCTATTTTGCACATATTTGGAAGTATGGTTTGTAGTAAGTTGAATCAGTTCATAAAAATTTAACTAGTTCAGTTCAAAAATTTCTTAAAAGTCAAAATGTACAAATGTAATAGAAATAAATTAGAAAGATGGTAATTTTGATGACTGTTCAAGGTTGGTGGAGATTTTCCTTATTATTAGTTCAGCTCTTGTTTTCTTTTGTGTTGATTGAGAATAAACTGTTTAAGATCATTCCATTCAGTGAGCCATTTTCCTACATCTAGCCAAAATCTTTGATTAATTTCACTGACACAGGTATTTCCATACTTGGCATATTCAGCTTGATGTAGAGGTTTGCTGGATCAAAACTTTTAAACTTTTGTAGAACAGCTGGAACTATTCAATTCTATAAACAGGATTGTATCCCAGGTTGCATTAATAACAAGGTTAGATTAAATCTAGCACAAGCTTGGCAAGTTATGCTGAATTTGCACAAGGAGGTGTAAATTAATTTTTAATATCCAGGGACTTGTTAAAACTTTAATATCCAGATTTAAGATGGACATCTGGGAATTTTTTCAAAAATACATTTTGGAATTCCTTGAAAATTATTCAAATTGTTATTAGCTGAATGATTGAAGCTTTTGAAAAGTTTTACAATACTTAGAACAGGATATTTGAATAAGTTAAAACAAATAAAACATCAACAGCACAC